AAGACTTATTTCATTTTTAAAAGTTTTTGTGTGTGTCCCCTTGGGTTATTTCAAAAAGCCTGTTTTCAAATTCAGTAATTCTTTTTTCTGCTTTATCAAGCCTGTTGCTTAAGCTCTCAGTTATATTTTTTATTTTGTTGAATGAATCCTTCAGTTCCAAGATTTCTGCTTGGTTCTTTTTTTTTTATGGTATCTATGTCTCTGTTGGGTTTCTCTGTCAGATCCTGAATTGTTTTTCTGATTTTATTGTGTGTCTATCTGTATTCTTGCATCTCATTGAGTTTCTTTAAGATTATTATTTGGAATTCCTTTTCAGGCCCTTGATAGGTTTCCTTTTTATTGGGGTCTGGTACTAGGGAATTATTGTATCCCTTTGTGGTGTCATGTTTCCTTGTTTTTTTCCTGTTTCTCATATCCCTGCATTAGTGTCTTGGCATCTGCTGGAACAGCCACTTCTAATTCTCAGGAGTAGCTTTTGAAGGAAAAGACTTTTACCTGTAGAGTTCTATAGTGACACTTGGTTAGGGTTTTCAGGTTTGGTTCTAAATTAGCACAGGAGTGTAGTCTCTGTGTGATTTCTTCAACTGTATTCAACATCAGAAGTGTCTGTATGTGCCTCCCTGGCCTACGGTACTAGAGAGCTTGGCAGCTCGTTGCTGAAGTGGGCAACAATGGGCTGAGTTGCAGGGGTTGTGGATGAGATCTTCAGCTCTTGAGAGAAGTGTTGGGGTGATCTGCACCTCCTCAGCTGGAGTGAGCAATTCTGAGTGGGCTTGTTGGTGCCCCAGCCAGGATCCTCTATTCCTGCTAGATGTACTGGGATGCTCTGTAACTTCTCAGCTTAAACAGGGGACCCTGAACAGGATTGCTGGATTCAAGATTAGGACCTTGGACTTTGTGGGAGATGATGAGGTGCTTAGCAGCTCCTCAGCCAAAGTGGGCAACTCTGGGTGGGTTCAGTGGGACTTCAGGCTGAGCTCTGTACCCCCAAAGGAGGCACTGTGGAGCTCTGCATCTCCTCAGCTGAAGTGGGTGACACTGGAAAAGGTTGCTAGTGCTGTGGATGGGACTCTGTGCCCCCAAGATAGACACTGAGACACTCTTGCAGCTGCTCAGGTAGAGTGGCCACTCTGGCTAAAGCCACTGCAGTTGTAGGTGGTCCTGTGTGCCCCTTAGACACTGGAGCACTCTACACCTTCACTGTTGAAGTGTGCTGCTCTGGGTGAGGTAGTGGGGGTCATGGTTGGGGCCCTACACCCTCAAGAGAGACACTGGGTTGCTCTGCAGTACCACATTTGGAGTGAGCCACTCTGGGTGAGGTCTTTGTAGTTTTGGTTGGGAACCAGTGTTCCAAAGAAGAATGCTAGGTCATTCTGCAGCTCCTTGGCTGGAGTGAACCACTCTGGGTAAGGTCTCTAGGGTTGTGGGTAAGACTTTGTGCCCCTAAAAGAGATGCTGAGGCTCTCTGCACCTCCTCAGATGGAGTGGGCCATTCCAAAGAAGAATGCTAGGTCATTCTGCAGCTCCTTGGCTGGAGTGAACCACTCTGGGTAAGGTCTCTAGGGTTGTGGGTGAGACTTTGTGCCCCTAAAAGAGATGCTGAGGCTCTCTGCACCTCCTCAGATGGAGTGGGCCACTCTGGGTCAGGTTGCTGTGGTCATGGGCAGGACCCTTCATCCCCAAGATAGATGCTGGGGCTCTCTGCAGCTGCTTAGCTGAAGTAGGCCACTCTGGGCAAGGCCACTGTGCTCATGGGCAGGCCCCTGTGTCATCAAGAGAAACACTGGGTCACTCTGCAGCTCCTTAGCTGTGGTGGGCTGCCCAACAAAAGGTTGCTGGGTTTTTGGGTGGGCCCCTGTGCCCCTGAGAGAGATGCTGGGTCACTCTGCAGCTCCTCAGCTGGAGTGGGCTACCCTGTGCAAGGTCACTGGGCTCCTGTACCCCAAGAGAGATGCTGAGTCCATTTGTAGCTCCCCAGCTGGGGCGGATATCCCTGGGTGAGCTCCATGGAGCTGCAGATGGGGCTCTGTGTCCCCGAGAGAGGCTTGAAGGCCCTCCACATTTTCCCAGCTGAAGCACATGGGTCTGGGCAGGTTTGCTGGAGTCATGATGGGACTTAGTGCCCCTGTGAGAGGTGCATGGGCACTACACTGAAGAGAGCAGTGTCACTGGCAATGGCGTAAGTCCCCAATCAGTCAGCTCTGGAAAGTGTGGACACTGGCTTTCTCTGTCCTGAGGGTAGGCCCCCACAGTGTGCTGAATAGCCTATTCCCAGCATGCAGGATATCACGTGGGCTTGGGTGCTAGAGATCCAGTATGATGAGGGGGTCTCAGGGCTGTGCAGATGTCAGGACTATTGGGCCCCAGGGCTAAATGCACTTGGGTATTGGCTCTGATTCCACTATGGTGACTGCTGCAGCAGCTTGGCACCTGGCGTGTGAAGGGTGTACAGGATGAACAGCATGAACTCCCTCCCTATATTAATGCAGTCACATGGACTCCCATCAGCTCCTCTCACTGTGCTCATGGTCTGCAAGGGCCATGCAGCATGCGTGCGTGCATGCATGCAATGAAGCTCTTGCTTACCAACTCCTGCAGGCAGAAATGCATTCTGGGTCCCTGCTGTTCCTGGCTGGTGATAGGGTAGTGGAGGCTGGATATTTTCTTCCAATCTCTATGTGTCTATCCTGAGTTTCTCTGTTCACTAGCACTTCTGTTACTCCTTTGATGTTTTCCAGTGCTCTCCATTAGTTATTTTCATCCAAGTGTTGTTTTGTATTCGTTGTTTGTCTGTCTGTGGGAGAGGGAGAGACGAGCCTTAAAGTCTTCTAGTCAGCCATCTTCTGTGCTATCTCTTTATAGTCACACCTCTCGCCTACTCCTTAACCTTTAGCAACCACTGATCTGTTTTCCATCATTATAGTGTTGCCTTTCTGAGAATGTCATATAAATGCAGTTATATATAATATAACCTCTTAAGCCCAACTTCTTTCACTCAGAGTAATGCCTTTGAGATTCATACAAGTTGTGTATTGATAATTTGTCAATTTTTATGAATGTTTTCTTGATTTATAAAGATTTCAACTATATGCTTATTTATTTCTTTTATATGAATCCATCTAATAAGTATCCCTTAATAGATAAATTTGTATTAAGTAGTAAATGAGACAGTTTAGTGTGGTACAGCATCTATCCAACTGCTTTTGTATAATTACTAATGGTACTCTTGGAGTAAAAGGGATCTGTAATCAAATAAATTTGAGAAATTTGAGAAATTCTGGGTTCTATAAAAGTAAACTGGATTTTTTACTGTATAATTTCTAAGAATCTTAAATATATAGCATGAGATGTAAAATTTCAGAAGGGAGATATAAGCTTTGCAAATGCTTGTCAAATTAATTTAATATTGTTTTTAGAATACCCATAAAGTTGTATTTCATAATTTGGGAAACATTAAATTAGAAATAAAAAACATGGGCTTTGGAGTCTAGGTTTAAAACTTTGTCCTGGCACTCACTAGCTGCTTGCCCTGAACAAGTTATTTAACAGGTTAATTAAGCAGTAATCCCAGATTTTTCATGTACAAAATGAAAAATTATTAGTACTTTTCTCATCAGGGTTGTTGTGAGGATTACATAAAATTTACTTTGTATATACATGTAGCACAATATATGCCACAGGGTAAGCCTCCAGTAAACTGTAGCTATTTATTACCAGAGGCATTATATAGTAGTGTTTGGGAGCATAAGTTTTGGAGCCTGCTAGATCTCAGTATTCTTTTGGGTTTTGCTGATTTGTTGATACTTAACGTCATTAATAAAATGAGCACAATATTTGTGAGGATTTAATGTGATGATTAAGTATTTAATACAATTACTCATGACTGGTTCCTTGGCCATTTTTCTGAGGAAATAACTTTTTATTCAGTTATTTGATAGTTTACAGAGAAGTGCATATATATCAACTAACTCCAGACCCAATTGTCCACTCTTATAGAGCAATTTCTAGAGACAAATAGATTCTTCAGTTTAGCAGATAGGATGGGAGTGAATTATTTAAGGAAGCATTATATTCTCCAGGAATTTGATTTAACAAAAGTCTCTAGTTCTTCTAAAAAAAATTTTTGAGGAAAAAAAAATTCAATTTGGTATTTATTTCTTGAAAATACTTTATATCAACACATTTTTCCTTTTGTATAAATATACTAGAGCTATATAGGTATTGATGTGAGAAAAGAAACATGAAAATGGTGAAGCTATTTTATAATTATCAGACAGCTATAATATTTAGTAGTCATCTCAACCCCACTATAGTATCTAATTGTAGTTTGCAAACTAACAGATGAAAAAATGTGTTTGAAGTTAGTTGAGCAAGGTAAATACAAGTGGCTGGTCATAGGTAAAATCAAGAATGAGACCATATTTATCTTTGATGAACTATTTTTCTCTTACATATTAGCCTTTTCCATTATTTTATGGTATACCCTTTCCCACAGAAACTCCAGAAGTTTTGTGTTACCCTCTACCACTCTGTGTTTTCCACTGTCACATTTCATTTCATAGTGAAATTTGTCTCTTTTCTCTCTTAGGGATTTCAGGTGACACATGCCAACTAGTTAATATTATATTCTAGCATAGATTCATATTCTGATGGTAGTGATTTGTAATTTGAAAACCAACTAATGTATGTGAAGATGTCCTTTTGAGAGTCAGTGAGCACCTCTACCTCCCTCCAGCCTCACTGCCTTTCCCTAACCCCACCCTAATATCTTTAGACTGATCCATTAGTAATTTTAACAGTGAGAACAGATATCTAGAAAAAGTGAAACGGTAGAATAGTAGATTGTTGGGTTTGAAATTTCGGGCCAGTAAAGCCTTTTGTTGTCTGTTAAATTACATTGTATATAATTCTCACTACATCTGTTCTTTATAGGCTCAGTCTTGTGACTTTCTGTCATCTTAAAAGACTTCTCAGTCTCATTAACTTTTTTTCCTATATAGTGAACCATTCATAATATTCTCTGGTGGGCTGTCCTATGACAAAGCTTGCAGAAGACCAAGTTTAACCATTATGCATGGAAAAGCAATTACAGTACTTGAAATGGATCATCCTATTGTTGAATTTCTAACTTTATGCGAAACCCCCTATCCAAATGGTAAGTAACTAAAATGAAACTTAACGTTGAAAAAATTATTTTTGAAATGACAAGCTCCTAACAAAATTAAGGCTAAATATTTTCAGTTTTGGCAGCTGGCATCCACTGTGATACAACACTGTGAGCTACAGATGCTGGAGCAGGTTTTGCAATTGTACCTACTTGACAACTGGAAGTAAGACAGATTTAATGCAGCAGTGCTGGCATTTCAGGTTCAAATATCAGGTAAGTGCTTTAAACTTTGATAAGGATGGTGGAAGCTGAGCTGGGAGGGTCCGATAGGGGTCTGAGGTGAAATCACTTGGGGAAACAGGTCTCCTAATAGTCTCTCCTAGACCAGCTCCACCCATCCCATCCCAAAGCGAATCAAAGTTAAAGCACTTACCTGATATCAGTGATCTGTAACTCTGGTGGTGCTGTATCTGTTTTACATCTTACTTTGCTTCAGATGCAACTGTAGTATGTCTGATTACTCTAGGATTGCTGATGTGTGGTTAGTGATTTATTTCAATTTTGAGAATAATTAGCCAGAAGGGCCTTCGGGAGGAGAGATGTTTTTATAATATTATAATCCTGAATATAAATAAAGACTTTTTGTAAACATAAAAACTAGTTTAAACTTATATGCAAACTGTATAATGAAATCTAACGATGATGAAATATTTTAATAAAAATCTGAAAAATGAGTGAAAAAATAGAAAGAAAATATGAGTTTATGATTTAAAAAATTTACTATGTGTATGGTCATGATGACATTTTCAAGATAGAACGTGTAGATATACGTGAACTGGACTTGGGGACAGAATATTTGTTTTTGTTTTTGTTTTGTTTTTTTTCGTTAAATTATTATTTTGTCAATATACAATGTATATGATTATTATGGCCCATCACCGACACCT